GTGTCGCCATTTTCTCCCAGAGAAAGGAGCATGCGGCGGTGGGCCTGCCGCTGGTAGTGCTCCCCGCATGTCCCCTCCGCCAACAGGCATCACGGTGCCCAGCGGGCACGTCCTGGCCTGTGCCATGGCCTCTGTGGGGCGATCGCGTGGGGCAGTCATGCCAGCAGGGGAGGGACGGGGTAGCACAGCCTGCCACGCGCTGGGGAGGAAATGGGAAACAGCTTCCATGTCCTCTGCTTTTCTTATGTTTCCAGCTGGCTGTGGAATCGGGGGCAGAGAGGGAGGAGGGGGTAGAAGCTGTCCTCTCTGCCGTGCAGTGGTCCTCTCTGCCGTGCAGTGGTTCTCTCCTTACCCCATGCTGGAGCTTTCCCTGCTGGGTGAGCAGCTCTTGCCACCTCTTTGCTTTCGTGCCTGAGGATGCATCCCTGCTGCAGGGAGATGGAGGAACTGCTGGTAGAGATGCAAGGGAGATGGAAGGCAGGGTCACTGTGTTAGTAGGAACCTTCGTGCAAACAGCTGGTGGGTTGTGTCTGAAGTGGAAGTGTTTTGGCTTTCCCTGAGAATGGGCCAAGATTGTTTCTTGCAATTTTTGATGGGCCAGCTTCTAGCTTGACGTGAATGTTCTTGCTCTGGTGAGACCCCAGGCTTGCTTGTTGGTCCAAGTTCCCACCCCCAATGAAGTAGTCCTGGGATCGAGGGGGTATTTGGTAACTAAGAGACACCCACAGACTGCTGAGTCTGTATTAATGTATCATCTCTGAAATGGGCAAATGGGGCCCTGTCTGTCCTCCCTCCCATCCCCTTTCCCCCTGGCAGCTGGATTGCAGTTGGATGCAACCTCAGGCAAGCTCAAGGAGAGAGCAGGCCCGTTCCTCTCCCGGTAGGGGCCGAGGTGGTGGAACTGGTCAGCTCTTCTTATGCTCAACAGATGGGCAAGCAGCTGGGTTTTAGTGTCCAGAACTGTAACTGCCTACATCCACATGTGCAGCTGGAGGAAAAAACCCTACCCAGTTACTTAGACACAACAGCATTTTGCAAGCACTTGGCTACTGATTTATTGCATTTGCTATTGGTTTACAAACATTGGCTACAAGATAGGTCTAATGGCCAGTAACTTAGCTCTGCTGGCTTCTCATCTGTCTAAAGAACACTTCAAACAGCAAAGCAGACGATAACCTCACAGCCCGAGGGAGATCGCTGTGATGGTGCAGTGAGCTTCCCCAGGTCCTGCAGCTGACAGGTTCTTCCCTCCCTACCCCAGCTGTGGCAAGGGAACAGAGATGCATCAACCAGATCTTCCTGCTGCTTGCTTAGCCTACAGAATATATACAATAAGCGGTAGAGGAAAAACTGTTATGTATACATCACAGTAACTGTGCAATAAATTAAACTTCAAAGTGCTTCACTTTCCTATTTACAACACCATTAAATAGTAACTGACATTATTCTCTCAGACTAGGAGGAAGTATTTAGTTAGTTAGCTGACAGGGTAAGAGTGCTCGGTGATTACACCAGGAGGTGGGGAATGGGCTCAGCTGGCAGCTTCTCTCTGGGAGAGATTTGGGAGGGAAGAGGGACTGGAGCAGCGTGAGGGCATCAATTAAGGGCTTTGGCAGGGATGCTGGGGTGAAAAGGGAAACCAGACCTGGAGGCTTAGAAGATACAGAGAAAGTGTGTAAAAATCAAGTGATGGGACTCCTCTTTTGGAAAGCTGTTTAATGGGCGGGTCAAGCAGCATCTTCAGTTTTGTTGCTGCCGTCTCAAATGTCAAAGTGAAGCACTGGAGAGCTTAGCAAAGGATGGGAAGTGATGCAGGGAGCAGTTGCACACCTTTTCTATTCCCTTACAGTGTAGGGCTTAATAAAAGGCAATAATAATTTTATTTTAGTGCCTCTACTTTTTTAGGGTACTAGAAGCCTCTTCTGTTTTAGGGATTACGCTCTGAGTTGCCCAGCTCTGGTTGGTGCCATCTCAGCTTCCTTGCGCTTTCCCAAGTGTCGATCTTGCTTGCTCAAAAGCCTGGAGCAGGTGCTTGTTTGGGGAACAGACAAGCTTAAAAGAGCAGGAGCCACCGAGACCACCTGTCTTTTCAGCAATAAAACCATAGTCACTGGATAGAGTGACTCCAGGTTGAAGGGACCAAATTTCACCTTGTTTTGTCAACCCTTGAGGGTCTTCCCAGAAGTCATCACCGACTGCACTAATGGGAAATGCCCTGTATGGCCAAGACCCAGGGGCTCATGAGTGTTCTTTTGCCTTGCCCAAGCCCTACTGAGGCAATATTGGGAATGAGACAAAGCTAAGCCAAAGGGAAATGGTGCCGGGGGCTGCTGGGGAGAGGGGGGAAGCAGGAGAGGAGAGTGGCAGACAGGACTATGGGGCAGAGGCAAGTTAGAGCTTTCTTTTGAGCTTGGCTCCCGCTTCTCCTTGCGGACACAGAAGTACTTGGTGACCCTTTTGCGGCACTGCTCCCAGCGCACAGCGCAGCACCAGTGGAACTTGCAGTTACAGCTGGACACCATCTCAGCTCGCCTCTCCTCCACTGCCAGCCCACAGTCCCCACACAGCCGCCGGCAGCTCCGCTTCTCCCACTTGCTGAGCGCCTTGCCCCGCTTCAGGCACTCCCTGCCCTCCGTGCCCAGCAGCCCCAGCGTCTTGTTCTCCAGGCAGTAGTCAGGAGAGTCTTCTAAATGGACCAGCTCCTTCTTGGAAATGGAGCTGAAGGTCTCGGCGATGGCACCCCGGCTGGCAGCGCTGTTCCCTGCCCCCTGCAGCAAGTCCACCTTCAGGGCTTTGTGGTACCTCTCCTTGAGGTAAGTGCCCACCTCCCGAAACTCGGGCAGCTGCAGCCAGCAGGTCTGGGTGGTGCAGCTCCCTGACACGCCATGGCATTTGCAAGTCCGCTTCATGGTCCCTTTCACCGCCTACAAGGTGAGGAGAGAGAGGGGAATTCAGGAAAAAGCCCAGAGGGGTCACTTCTGTGCCGCAATGCATGGAGAAACTGCGGAGGGGTTTGCCATCAACCCTCCCGGTGCAGTAGTCCTGCCCAGGGGTTGTTGGCTTAAAGCTCACAGATTTGCTTCTCCACAGTACTGCTCTACTCTAACTGGGAGAAGGAGGACAGCAGGAAGCCATTAACAGTGTAACCACGGAAGGTTTGCTACCTTAGAACAACCACCACCCATCATGTCAGTACTGGTGCTATCCCCTTCTCCCCAGCAGGGTAGTTTCTTCTGGACACGTGCTTTTAGCCACAGCAAGTTATGACTCTCCACGGTGAATGGCCAGAGCCAATCTGGTATGCACTGTCAGGTCTGGAGGGAGAGAGGGGCTCACCTTTCTACCCGCCTCATTGTTATGCAGGTTCATAGCAGCTCTGGCATCTTGTCCAGTCTCCAGGGCATCCACGAACTGCTTGGAAATGGCTTCCCCAAAGCCCACGTTATCGCTGCAGCCTCCCCACAGCCAGCCTTGCCCCCCTAGGAAAGGAGATCAGATGCGTGCTGTCAGGGAACCAGTCTCTCGCCTGCCTGGTTTGTGGCTGTAGGAACATGAAAGGGTCTCAGAAATGATGGGAGGGAACGGAGGCTATGGGGCAAACCCAGCCTTTTGCCTGGTGATACTCCCTGATTCCCTCCCTTTGGGCTCATCATGCCATTTCTACTGAGGCTTGGGTAGTAAGTGGCTCACGCAGGCAGTGAAGGGGTATGTCCTGTGTGGCAAACCCAGAGATTTCCAGGCTTTCTATAGAGTAGGATTCAGAAGCTGTTAATTATCATGCTTTAGCAGCCATATAGATAAGGCTTTGGGTCTTTAATCACCTTCCCTCAAGCCCTGACTTGAACTGGTTCATTCTGACTCACAGGGACAGCATCTTGCTAACGTGGATTAGCAAACTGGTGGAGGCATCCTGGTCAGAGGGAATGGGTTCCCCTCCGCCAGGAAACAACCCAAACCTGGCACACTTGTATTGGGGAGGCCCTCTTTTCGGTACACCCAGAATCCCAGGATGATGTTTGGCATCTCAGAAGGGTCTGATTTTCCAATTATCATAACGAAACAAAGGAGTCAGCACAGAACTGGGAAACTGCACAGCAAGATATGGAGGGTACTTTTCCTGACTTTGTGGGAGCTTGATAACTTAGCTTGGCTGCCTGGAAATACATCATGTGGTTTGCTTCTTTTCTTCCTAGAGAAAAATGCTGAATTCTTTATGAAGATTTGAAATCTGGAGCATTCTGACCCTAATGTGCCTTGGCGGTACATCTCGCGAGTTGTGGTTTAATGGCCTTGTGCATCTCTTAAAAGGCCTAGCCCTTGCCCAGACTTCCCCAGAGCATCGCAGTCCCCTCTCCCAGGGAAAGGCAGGGGTGTCTCATGGGAGGTGGGTAATTGCAGCGGATGATAAAGTCCAAATCAAGAGCTGGGACCAAAGGGAGAATGGAAACATTTCACCAACTTGGATCCAGTGCAACAGCATTTAGAATTGAATCACGCTGTTTTGGACAAGCCCAAAGGTTTCCTTTGCCTTCCAAGGTTTTAAGTTCACAATGGAAGATTTTCATGAAGAACAGTGTGTTTTGGGAAAAAGAAGTGTAGCATTATGAACTCGTATTTTCCAGAGAAGATGAAATTTGGTGTGTCATTGCCCAAAATTCTTGCTCTGCTAGAGGTGGGCTATTCCACACCTTGGACACATAAGAAGCAGTGGGTGTTTTAAAAACTATTAGCCAATAAAGCAAATTGCTAGATGCTGGATACTTGAGAGGAGTTTGTCATAAATTGACATGTTCCGACTGCCCAGCGCA